TTGCCAAAAGTATTATTGTAGTAGGTGTCAGGTTTAGTAGAAACTTGGGTAGTTTTAATTAGATTTAGCAATCCAAATACCACATATTTGGTTAAGCAAATATTCAATACAAAATTTACAAGCCACACTTTATAATTCAATTAAATGTATTTGTATTACAAATCAGCACTTTGCTAGGTAATCCTGTGCCACATTGGTGGAGAAGTTTAGCTGATACTATTTTAACATAAATTTAACTTCTTGCTAAAGATTGTATTAAAGACAAAATATATTTGTTTGTGTTTATGAGGAATAATTAGGTAGACACTTTGTATTTTTTGTAATTTACATTGTCTATCATGATGAATAGTCTTTATCACTGTTAAGCAATGACACTTTGTCTTTCTAGGGCAGTCCCAAAAGGAGCACACCACCTTGCCAGAAGCTTGGATGATGCTTTAGTTCTTCTGGATTCTCCAGAGCTAAAAAATAAGATAGACTTGGTTTGGATAGTTGGAGGCAGTTCTGTTTACAAGGTATAGTTTGATCATCAAATGAACGTTCTTATAAGAGTATTATGACACTGAGGGGGCCTCAGCTGGATAGTTTAAAAGGCTTGAAATCTTTGCATAATGAAGATTAGCATTAGATCACCTTGTATGAATCTGCAGAGTTCCTATGGTTTTAGCTATAGGCTTTACAGAGTGTAAAGTTTAACTGATGAATTTAAGGAATCTCTCCAAATGACCCACCAAAACATCTCTAAACTCATAACAATGTATTGAGTCCAAGGCAGGGGTTGGCAGCATCCAGCCTGCAGAGCCACTGAATCTGGTCTGCAGAGCCCAAGGGCTTTGTTTATGTGTGCCTGCACCAGAGCTAAGCAAGCAGCAAGGAGCTAGATGGGGCTGGGCAACTTCCAGCTGTGCCCTTGCTGCTGCTTCTTGTCCCCTGTCCCCTAGCCTTTTCCCGGCTGCAGCATTGGCACAGCTTCCAGCTGGTTGGGAGCTGCACTGGGGCCAGGCAGCTGGAATCTCTTTCCACCTTGATGGAATCTCTTTCCACCCTGATGCTGTTTTTCACTCTTCCTTCCCTTCCCTGCCTCCCAACCACAGCACAGAAATGACAGCAGCGTGACTGCAGCTTCCTGACCCTTGTACAGCTCCCCATCAGCTGGAAGCTGTGTTCACATCCCAGCCAGGGACCCAGCCAACAAAGAGATCCCCAGCAGATGTTTCTATCTGAAACCATCAAGTCTTCTTCCACCTACTGGACAGACCCCAAGTGCCCTCCTCTCATTCCAAGCACCTGTTCTCCAGTTTCTCAGAAAGCTGTGTCCCAGCTATGTGCACTTTCCTTGGAACACTGTTTTAGAAACCTAGCTGTGCCCAGCTTATTCCCCCATAGCCAGCACTTATCTATACCCCAGACGTTCATCACCCATCCACTACTGCTAGATCTTGGGAGAGTCTATTCTGCTGTTTGAGGTCACAAAAGAAATTCTATTTAAATAATCCAGTGAGTTAATTTGAATCATTATAACTAATTGGCATGAATTGTAATATGGACTTCATAAAACTGTATGAATCTTATTTTGTTAGTCTATAAGGTGTATATTTACCCTGTTTTCTTCATAAAACTTGACAGCTATAGAGACTAATTCCCAATAAATCAGTTAGGAGGCTTTTGACCACGGAAGAGAGTGCTTCTTTTCCTTTTCAGCAGTTAAAGGGATGGAGCTTGAAACTATCCCTTTTGCCCAGACGTGTCAAACGTATGGCCCATGCACTGGATCCAGCGCATAGTGCTGTTTCATCCAGCCTGGCTGGCTACCAGAAACAGAGAGTGTAGCCTGTTGCAGAATCCAGGGCCCCTGGGCTTTGACGGACATAGCCATTGGTGACTGGAGGATAAGCGAGGGCTATGCAGACACAGCCTCACTCACCTGGCAGCCACTGGTCCCACCACCACTTGCGTTATCCCCATTGCAGTCGCCCCTGGTCCTGCCTTTCCCACCACCCTGTGCTCTGGGTAGTAGATACAGTTTGCTAAAAATTTTGGGCACATCTATGCATTGCCCTATGGCGACATTGTTACTGCACCATGCTTTAGTACATCCTTTTGTGGAGTAGTAACCACCCATACTGCTCTGTATGCATAGTGTACAGTTAATTTTAGCTGCTGCTTTGCTGTAGCACATGCTAAAATGGGGAGCATGCTATTATGATGAAGTAGCATGCTACTATGATGAAATAGCATGTTATATGGCGACATATGGTGATGTGTAGATGTGACCTTTGTGTAGGAAATTATTGCTACAACTCAAGATTATATTCTGTCTACTGCAGTGTGTGTGTGCCTTGCAAAGAAGACAGCTTCATGTTTCATTTTGCTGTAACATAGGAAAAGTACTTTTTTGACTTGTCTTTAAAGTTATAAGAAAAGCATAAAATAGTTTTAAACAATATTTTCATCCATCACATTTAATTATCCTTAATTTTAATCTTACAATTACATGATGCTTTTTTTTCCTTAGGTTGATTTCCCAGTTTTATGCCCAAATCTATCCAATGTATAATCAACTGCTATTATAAAGTGTAGAAACAAACTAGCTACTCTTTGTTTCCTATCATTTAATTCAGCTGCTGTCATTTTTGATCGAAGTAAATGCCTAATTTTTGGAGGTGAATTTTCTCTCAGTTTGACTTCATTAAACAATTAGAACAAAAGAGCAGACTTGGATTCTAGCTACAATTCAGGAAGGCAGCCTAAGAAGGATCAACTCCTTGCACCATGATATACATCCACTGGTTCAAAAAGTGTATTTCTCTACTGCCTTCTCTTACAGTTAATTCTGGGCCTTATGTAGTTATGTAGTCTCTTATGTAGTTTCTTATGTCTTGTATAATGTCTTTTCTGTCTTACAGAAAAGAATACCTCCTAGGATCATAGTACACCTGCACCCGTATTAAGAAAAATTATAAATCACAGGATTGATATAATTGGCAGTCTTGATCAAGAGTAGCTGCCCAGCATGTTGCTGTGCTGATCAGTATAACAACATAATTTTAAATTTGTGAACTGTTTCTGCTATTTCAAGTGTCTAATCAAGCCATTTTAAGAAATCTTGTAACTTACTGAGGGAAATCTGACAGTTTTATACAGTTTTGTGCATTTAAACCAGCATTATGATCTTAATTAGAAGGGTTTGATGGAAACTGAACACCTCAATCAAAACTGCAGATATTTTAGTGCTTCTATCAGGGATGTTCTGTACTAAGTGATAAGGATTGCTGGAAGATTACCATGATACCATGTAGAAATGCGTGGGTAGAAAAATATCTCCTGATAATTGAAATGAATCATTTTATTCAGTAATGGTAGGCACTGGCTTTTTAAGGCTTTATTCTGATCTTAGTACTCTGTATAACAAAGATTTAGGGCCAGATTTTATTCATTAAACACAGGGTTGTGTTGGAGGCAGCATGGAGTCACCATACCTTTGATGAGATGGAAGTGTTCAGGAGGCACCGTGTCTTAGAAATAAAGCTGCCGGAAGTTGCTGAAGAGAGCAGCTGTTGTATTGCCTTTTTTACAGTGCATAGCATGTGGACCCCTGCCTTCATCTGGTCCGTCTTAACTTCAACTCTTTTCTACCATTCTTGATACAGGAACATTTATATGAGCTCATTAACTACAATTGTTTCTGTCCTCTTAATGGAAACAGGGTGTACAAGCAGAGTGGAGAAAAGTTAGGAGCTACCAGGTGACCAAGTTGACTTAAATACACAGGTGACTCAAGGAAGTATTGTCTAAACCATTCTGGTTTGCTTCTGTTCTATAGTAGTGCCTCAAAACACAAATCCTTATGTATTCGGACACTAACTCATCAGTTAGAAGAGTTCTTCAGGATCAGGGAAGAGTCTTTCAGAATCTGCTTATGACCCATGCATCAACTTGGCCAGATTCCTACTGCAGGCAAGATTCACATCACCCATAAGTAATTTATGACCAGATTTTTCCAGAGAAATGGAAACTTCATTTTTCTGCTTTACAGTTCTTATGACATGCTTCCTCAGATAGCCTTAGGGGCCACTGCTTCCAAAGTATTGTTTAGTGGGCTCATTGCTTCCTGAGATATTGTCACAAGCTGTTCTGTTTATCCACTGAAATTTCAACTTATTGTGTCATCACTTCACTCTTTTTCATCACTTAATTTCTAAGGATCTGGAATATTGGAAGAACTGACATGATAGAGAACCAGGGTGATTTTGGTACCCCAGACTGACCTCTATGGAATGTAGAACTTAGAGCCTGGCTTCCATTTCATGTATTCTCTGGAATAAGCTGTCACACCATTAAGTGCTTCTGTGGAAGTCTGCTCACTTTTGTCTTGTGGCAAACACTAATTTGATATTGCCATTCTAATCCCCTGCAACAGCAGGGTGCTGGAACACATCAAAGAAAGCTTCCCTTATAGCGCATATCATCAATGGAGATCAAAACACACGTCTTCACATGTGACTTTTTTCAGCTCATACAGCATCATTGTTAAAAGTTGTTCAGAAGGCTAATATGTAGTATTATTCACTTAGGTTGAAGTTTCTTACTGCTTTCCTGAACTTCTGCAGACAGCTTCTGAACGCTGTCAATCATGTAATGGATTTGTCAGATAATTGTGTCATTGGTTGGGAATTCCTGTGGCTAACATCACATGACACTTCTTCTGGTGCTTTAAGTGGCTCTATAAGGAAGTATGGGTTGGATGACTAGACTGTAAGGTGGATAGAAAGCTGGCTGGATAATCAGGCTTAACAGGTAGTAATCAGTGGTTTGAGGTTTAGTTAGCAGCTGGTATCAAGTGGAGGGCCCCAAGGGTTGGTCCTGGGGCTGGTTTTGTTCAGTATCTTCATTAATGATCTGAAGATGGGATGGATTTCACCCTAAGCAAGTTCACAGATGACACCAAGATGGGGGGAGTACTAGCTACACTGGAGAGTAGGACTAGGATTCAGTGACCTAGACAAATTGGAGGCCAAAAGAAATCTCATGAGGTTCAACAAGGACATGTAGGAAGTCCTACACATTGGACAGAAGAATTCCATGCACTGCTACAGGCTTGGGACCAACTGGCTAAGCAGCAGCTCTCCAGAAAAGGACCTGGAGGTTACAGTGGATAATAAGCTGAATAGGAGTCAACAGTGTGCCCTTGTTGCCAAGTAAGCTAACAGCATACTGAGCTGTATTAGTAGAAGCATTGCCAGCAGATCAAGGGAAGTAATTATTCCCCTCTGTTCTGCACTGGTGAGGCTGCATCGGGAGTGTGCGGGCCGGGAGCGGTCCGAGGCCCTCGGGGGTGCGCAGCAGGCTGTGGCCAGCAGCCCTGGCACGCGGGTCGGGGAATGCAGGCCGGCGGACTAGAATTAGGCACGGACGCGTAGCAGTTGATTAAAGATTATTTTACTTACACCGTAGATGGTCGTGGTGCAGGCAGGAGAAAACTTCGCTTAAGTTGCAGTTACAAAACTTG